GATACTTAAATTACCTCCCATTCTCTTCATACTTCTTTATTGATTTTAAGATTTAAATTTGATATTTTTAATTTAAAATCTTAAATTATTAAGTAATCGGAGACATCCCTAAATAGGAGCTTACTTTGCCTTTGGAAGAATGTTAAACAATTTTCCTTAGATGTTAGAGGGTATTTTATTTTAAATGAATAGAATTTGTTTTACCTTTTTCTTTATTTTTTTCTCACCCTCATATTCTCCTTTTTTTTAACCGCCCTTATTACTATTAAATTTTACAATAATTAATGCTTGATATTTAATATTTTTAAATAAGTCTTAAATCAACTTTATAGAATTAAATGCATCTTTAATCTGATCATAAGGGAAAAAAAATGAATGAAATGTGCAAGGGTGGAGGACAAGGGTGTATACCCCTTTAATCTAGATAATACCCGTGCCTCATACAATAACATTACAATGAGAAATAACATGAAAAATAACGAAAAATAAAAAAATACAATATATAGGATGTTAGAACTTAATGTTAAGTTGATGTTCATTACATTTCTAAAAGATTGATTATTGAGTTATTGAAAATATGAAATAAAATGTGTGAATATATCTTCAATCTAAATAATACCCGTGCCTCACATGAAATGTTCCAATGAAAAATAACCTGAAAGAGAATGAAAAATAAATAAATAAATACAATAAATAGAATTTTAGAACTTAATGGTAAGTTAATATTCATTACATTTCTAAATATTTGATTATTGAGTTATTGAAGCCTTAAGCAAACATCCTATTTACTACCACCAATTAAACAAATTTGAACTCCCAAAGTCATTATATTGGGAATACAAATGATTAAAGAAAAGCCCTTGATTAGTTTCCCACAAAACATAGTTGCAAGCTCCAAATAAGATGTAACACTTCATAATTAGGGGCCACGTCCATTTGGTCAAATACAGTAAGTACCAAGACCAAAGAGAAAAAAGACATCAGTAGAAATATTGAATTTCGAAATTAAAGAATTCCTTTCAGACAACTTCTAAACAAAACATCTATGAAATATTTCACATCGAAAATCCTTTCATCTTTCCATTTGAAGTCTCTTACCATGTGATCAATTACTTTGGGCCATTTGAAATGCATCCCTGCCATAAGAAAACACGGAACCCTACCATAAGAACACACAGAAGAGAGAATACTTGGAAAGAAGAAAATAGAAAGGAAAATACATTGGAAGAGGATGAATGGTTAACTAAAAGCATAATAGATTACTTCACATTGGATCGTGTCGAAGGTTGCATTGATTATTAATATCCAATCTTTCCCCATGAGTACCATCACAACAACACATTCTATTGTAAGCCAAGTGAAATATATAACGTCCATAATTTTCAAGAACCAAAAATAGCAAATGGTCTAATTTATTCAAACGGCCAAGAACTTGTGATCACGGCCATCAACATACTTCATGAAGGTACTTAATTTTTTCTTATCTATGATAAAGATAATTAATTGATAATATAGTCTATTTGATTATATATTTTGACATATTGACTTGCAGCCATGTCGAGGGTAGAACGATAGAAGTCTACAGTACAGAGGTAATAGAAGGGCCG